CACTGCTCCAAAAACCTTTTCCATGCTCACGAACTGGGTGGCCCAAACATTACGGGAAAAATGGAACATGAGAATCCTGGTATACCTGGACGATTATTTGCTAGTACACCAGAATGTTCACATGCTTCGCGAGCATGTCAAAATAACTGTACAGACATTACAAAAACTGCGGTTGCAAATAAATTTCGAAAAATCTGTTCTGTCTCCTCAAAAGAGTAAAATTTATTTAGGGATACTATGGAAACCATGGGAAAATCATAAAACCCTACCAAAAGAAAAAGCTCAGGGCATCATCACAAAGATAAATCAGGCTCTCCAACAAGAGCAGTTAACCTTGAAGGAGTTGCAGAAAATAGTAGGTCTTCTAAATTTTGCCAGTTTTTTTGTCCCACGGGGTCGGCTGAATCATCGATAGTTATTAATCTTAATGAATTCGCTGCCAGTCCTGCCATTAAAGTCCTACCCACTACCACAAGGTGTCTTAGAGGAACTAAACTGGTGGGCCCAAAATTGTCAAAAGTCAACACCTCTTCAGTACCCTCTTCCAATAAATTTTCTGACTATAGACGCGTCGGATCAATCGTGGGGGGCACAACTGAACAATTTGGCTCTGTCAGGAACTTGGTCGCAAGAAGAGAAAACGCTGCATTGCAATCGAAAAGAAATGCTAGCAATATTATACGCTCTTCAGACCCAAGTTCATTGGCTCCATCAAAGTTCGCTCCTCATTCAAAGCGACAACAGAACGGCGGTCGCCTACCTGTGAAAGGAAGGAGATACGAGGACATTAGCCCTGTTGGAAATAACCTATCGAATTCTGAATTTGTTAGACCAACATCAGATACATTTCAACATACACTACATTCCGGGCAAATACAACAATCATGCGGACCACTTATCGCGCCTTCGCCAACCTCCAGAATGGCACTTACTAGCGACCTGTGTAGACATAGTGTTTGCAGAATGGGGAACCCCAGTAATAGATCTATTTGCCTCGGAGACTGCTCATGTAGTACACAATTATGTATCTCTAGATCTAAGAGATCCTCAAGCTCTATTCCACGATGCCTTCAGTGTCCCTTGGAATTATCAGCTCGCATGGATATTTCCAATACCATTCCTAGTCCCCAAAGTCCTGTCTCACTTAAACCAGTCGACAGGAGTATTCCTAATAGTAGTACCTCGATGGGAGAGAGTGTTCTGGCGTGCGGATCTCAAAGCTCGAGCGCTCGCGGCCCCATTAACTTTCAGAAACCAGCAGAGATACCTAATAGACACGTCGACGGGAATCCCACCACCAAAGGTCGAGAACATTGTCCTCGAAGTTTGGAAATGTGGGGGTGGTCCGACGCGATAAAAACGTGGAACGCGCAACAACTATCACTGCTTAAAAATTCTTGGCGAAAATCGACTCTAAAAACCTACGAGGTAGCCTGGAAGCGCTGGATGTCGTGGAGTCGTGATAAAAACCTTGATTTAAAGAATCCCTCTGGTTCACAATTAGCGCAGTTTTTATGTGATTTATATTTAAATGATAAGTTATCGTATAATTCAATACTTTTACATAAATCAGTAATATCTACACTATGTAACGCTTTCAGCGCCAAGTCAGTTAAGTTCACACGTTCTAGTAAGACATGTTTGAAAATCAATTGGCCTAAAGAATCCAAAAGTAACTAAGCCTCCAGTTTGGGACGTTGATAAATTAATTTCATTTTTGACTAATTACACAATTGATTCAAATAACCTATTTCAAACGTCACGTCATACTGCAATTTTATTGTTACTTTGCTCTGGTAGGCGAATACACGATCTTACTCTACTTAATATTGATTCTAATCATTGCATACGATCTGATAACAGTATAATATTTTGGCCTCGGTTTGGCTCCAAAACTGACGGTAGTAATTACAGGCAGTCCGGCTGGAAATTGCTTTTAAATACCGATAGTTCTAACCTTGACCCTATATTCTGGACAGAAAGAACTATAGCATTATTAAACGACAGACGTAATGCGGCAAAATCAACTAATTTGTTTATTACGTTAAGAGGTGTGGCTAAACCTGCTTCACGTACAGTCATTGCAGGGTGGGTAAAGACCCTGTTTGGGGAAGCTGGCATTGCAGCCACTCCAGGTAGCACCCAGTCTGCTGTAGCCTCCAAAAGCTGGTTTCAAAATTATCCCCTCGACGAAATTTTGGCTCGTGGAAATTGGCGATCAGCTAATACATTCCAGCAGTTTTATAGACGAGAAATAATGAGAAGTACTGATTCACAAAACGTCACACAATTTTTCAATCCAATTGATTAAAATTGCTGAATAAACATTTTGAATATTTAGGTTACCTAGAATGAATATTCTTAAATTCTAAAGTACACTTATGTACACTCGTTGAATTGCTGTATAAGTACATTTATTTAAATATATGCATAATTATTAATCACTCTTATGTTTAATTTCATGCTTTATCACATTGGCCTTTACTATAACACTACATACTTCCAAGTATATACATCTAAGTGGCGTCACCAGGGGATAACAAACAGATCTCATAATAAAGCTTCCAGTGACGGTCAAGTGTTTTAATAGCAGCGTTTTACCTGAAATAAAACGCATATTAAAATACTTACCTCACTGGAAGCTTTCACTTTATTTCTGCCTGGTGTTAGGAGACAATGAACAAAAATGGCGTGATACTTTTTACGAAAACTAAAAACTACTCGCTACCACCAGGTGGCGCCACTGAGCCGGAAGTATAAAGGGGATAAAAGTACGAAAACTGGTAAGAAATCGGCGGGAAACGGAAATGCCATCTCATAATAAAGCTTCCAGTGAGGTAAGTATTTTAATATGCGTTTTATTTCAGGTAAAACGCTGCTATAGTCTTACCTTTCAGAGTTTCTAGGTAATTTAAAAAAACTTATGTCTGGATGCGTTATTGAAGAATTCATGCATCCAAAAACAGCACAATATTTCCTACTCGTCATATTAACTGATTTTTAGAGAAAAAATCGCGCGGTTATCGTTAAAAAAACAACACACCGTCCGTTCGACACTGCGGTACAGCCGTGACTGTCTGCGCCCCGAGCGCACCCCGAGATCGAGGCGCGTAGGTATAGCTCGCGTTTCGTCCGTTTCTATGAAGTTGGAGTACTGTATTATAATTGTACCGTGGTACCAGTTTCTCCCTCTGGACCGCATCTAACGAAGAGCGACTCGAATCATCGATAGGTAGCCAAAATATTTGCGACCGGCTCGATTCGTGGGCGTTACGTAGACATGTAGCTTCACTCTGCATTCTCTATCGCATATATGGAGAGTGCTCCGAGGACTCGGACCAATACCATCCGCAAATTTCCGCCATCGTTCCACAAGGGAAAATTTTCATCCTCATTACCTGGATAGTTGGCGCTCCACTACTGTGCGCTTTTCGAAACAATTTTGCCCCGCGCTACCAATCTGTGGAACGGTTTATCATCTGTGGTATTTCCGGACCGACACGACCTTCAAACCTTCAAGGAAAGAGCGTACTCCTTCTTAAAAGGCCGGCAACGTGTTTGTGACTCCTGAGTTGCAGACGTTCATGGGCGGCGGTGGTCATTTTCCATCGGGTGACCCTTCTGCTCGTCTGACATAAAAAAAATTAACAATGAAAAATAATGATTAAGAAACAATAGTCGAAAATTTTGATTAAAAATTAGTAACTCATACACAAATTTAGAGTGATTTAGATTAATAATCATAATAATTAATCGTTCTTTTGCTTTTCTTAATAACTGTGTCCAAATAAAATTTAATTTTTTTATGGTATACCTCCTTTCTAAGGAGAGGCCTATGACTATTTAAGGCTGTTGATGTGATGATGTTGATGATGTCAAAAAGAAGTTAACGGAGTACGTCGTGTTAAGGTGAGAACCGTAACCTACGTTTGATTTATCTTGTTAATTGAATAAACAATAATATATGGTCTATTTTGTATTGCCATCCTCAGATAAAAATATCTACTAACATAAAATAACTTAAATGCAGGCTTTTAAAATTGTTATCTAACTAAATCCCAATTCCTAATTTTAGTCAATAATTAAATAGAGTCAAACTATAATAATTAATATTAATTAATATTTAATTAGAGTCATAATGGACGAATGGATGAAAAAAGCTTTTTAAGATAATTTTGGTTTAAGGGTATAAATTAAATTAAATTGGAAAAATAAATTATGAGGTGACAACCTCATAATTTATTTTTCATTAGTTATTTTTGAAAAGTTATTACTTTATATAAACTGTGATAAAACCCAACTTTAAACAACAACAACCAACCCTAAAACCAAAATTATCTAAAAACTTAGAAGGAAGTTCTTGAATCCTATTCATTTGGACCTGATTTGTTTTTGGTGATGCATATTTTGATAAACTCATGTTCATCATGTTTAATTAAATTAAATGTTCTATAAGCAATAAAGTGTTATTTTTCAAATTAAATATATTTTTTTATTATGCATAGAAATACTTTAATGTCAAATATATAGGATAATATTAGAGTTCTACTTTTCCATTGAAAAGGATTTCGGTTATCGATAGATGTAAATAAAATAAGATGTCTGTTTTTCGGTCAACAACCATAATGTGCGTAGCTATGTTTGAATATGGCTTGCCTCATATAAATTCGTAACCGAAATTATTAGTTACCACTATTTAACTTATTATAAATAAATTAAACAAATATAGAATAATTATATAAAAGATTTATAATAATTGAATTTATATTTACGACTTTTAGAGGGATTTGCTGAAAATTGCGTACTTATTCTCTAATAAATTATTTAAAAAATAAGTTTACGGAAGTTCTTTGTTAAAAAAAAAATATTGTCAAATTTAGCGGGAAATCCACACCTTCCTATCATTTTGAAATAAAATATTTAAGTTTAACGTTGGTGCACTTTTAAATTGGGCTGTACAGTATTTAAATTGTGTCAACCTACAGGTATTTAATTTGACAATGTCTTGTGAAAACGATAAACTTGTGCTACTTAAGCTTAAACTAAAACATGGTATGTATAGTATACATTGAACTAATATTACTAGCGTGCATTATACTTCAATGTATGTATATTATATATGTATTTACCGACATAAATATCATCATCTCAGCTGAAAGACATTCACGGCTTGACATAGGTCTTCCCCAAGGTTCGCATAAATGACACCACCATCTGTGCTACCGCATCCAATGGTTTACCGCGACCTTCACCAGTCGGATCACCTTGAAAGGGCCTATCCACGCTCTGTCATCCGTTACGTACGCGGTCGCCACTCGAGAAATCTTCGGCTTCATCGGCCATCTTTTCTTCGAGCAATGTACCCCGCCCACTGCCACTTAGTTTAGCAATTTTCCCTTATCATAAATATATTTAGATAAGAAAATAGGTATTTTACATTCATAGTTTGATCTAAAATTAGAAGGCACAATCTATTGTTCCCTTAAGCGGTGTAAAATATACAAACAAGGATATATTTACTAGCGAGAAACCCATATCAATCGTTTCTCTTATGACAATAATTAAGCACAATATATGTATTTTTGTCGTCGATGAAAAGATAATAATTAAAATATGTAAGTTTTCATTTACTGCAACTATTAATGACCAATATAAAGGAGGATCAGTAAGAGTGCCTCAGTAAGAGTGCACTTTTTTATTTTAAAATAAAAACACGTATTTTATGAAAGAGTTATTATAATTTTATTAGATTGTAAAGAAGACATGTTCTGATTAAGTATAGAATAAAATATCCGGCAAATGGGCAACGGCCACGGCTCTGTTGACAAGCCATTACTCTTTTTATGAAATTTTCCATGACTTTTACACAGAGATATGGCTGTATCTCACTGATGATGCGGTAGATCTCTGATTTGAGCTCTGGAATTCTTTCTAGTTTATTCGCATTAACCCGAGATTTCACAAAACCCTAAAGAAAAAAATCACACGGCGTTAAATCGCACGATCTTGGTGGTCAGTTGACATCAGAATTTCGTGTGAGTTCTGCAAATCGTTGCTGCAATAAGTTGATTGTTTCATGCGATTGCTGAAACCACATGTTGTCCAGATCCATGAAGTCCAGTTGAGGCCACAAGAACTCCGTTATGATATTCCTGTAACGAATGCTGTCACTGCAATTTCGGCCTCATCTTCAAAAAAGTAAGACCCAATTACGCCGCCTGACCAAAATTCGCACCAGGCAGTTGCTCGTTGTGGGTGCATTTTGTTTCTTATGGATTGAATGAGGATTTTGTGTAGCCATTGCGAAATGCGCTTCATCGGAGAAGATGACTTTTTCGAAAAATTGGCATCGACTTCATTTTGCTCCATTCCCATTGAACGAATTGCCGGCGCTAACCATGGTCTGCTGGTTAGAGCTCCTGAGTTAGCGGAATCTTGTACGCATGAAGATGGAGGTCTTTGGTGGAGGTGCTTCGTGAAATTTGAAGTTGTTGAGAACGATGCCGAATTGATGTTTTCGGGTTTTCGGCGACACTCGTTTTCAGCAGCAATGTTTTCAAGAGATCGACCGGTATGTTGACGCAAAGGATTCTTAATATCCATAATCGACCCAGTTTCTTCAAATTTTTTGACTACTCTTCGAATGGTTGACACATTAGGTGAACTTTCTTGACTGAAAGTTTGGCAAAGTTTGCGAGCGGTTTAAACGTAACTTTCCCCATTTTTGTAATGAGTTTTCAAAATTATAACGCGTTGTTGTTTAGAAAATCGCTCCTTTTTTAATAATCAGAATAAACATAGGTGACCGCTGTCAAATTTCAGAGTTGCCACTTGCACGAAAAAAACGATTCTAAATTTAAAAGTCCACTCTTACTGAGACAACCTTAACAAAAACAGTTAATATCAAAGTTTCTTAATGCAGATTTTAGAATTTAATAAATAGACCTACCTATTTAATACAATTTGCTGTTATTTTCCTCTATAGTAACAAAACAGAGGTTATCCACAGAACGAGAAGTGCTTAAATTGCGAAACAAGGAGCGTTCTCTTACTGATGACCTTAGTTCTTTGAAGAGGGAAATTGACTATTTAACAGAACAATTGGAGGCAAGTCAGTTGAAGTCTGTTCGTGCCTTGTTGATTTTATACAATAACTACCCAGAGTTAACATAATAAATATTTTTTCTTTGTATAGATTCTGAAAAGACAACTGACTCAAAATAAACATCAAATTTCGTTAATAGAAATATGTACGAGTCTTGAGAATGTAAAAAATGAAGATCACATTAATGTTTTGAACGGCCACTTGAAAAGTTTTCAGGAGCTCTTCGATAAAGGTTTGTTAAAGATCTTATAGGACATAATCACATATTTTTTTTGTTTTTCTTGTGTGAATTGGCTTACATCATTCCGCTGAGGGCATGACGAAGCGAGGGTTGATTTTACTTTTTTGTCTAAACCATTACAGGTAAATAATTAGTAATTACTCGGCAATACGAAATATAATGGTTCTTACCCATAAGTTTCTTTTAAAAAAAAAAACACGAACGTGCCTTCCTTTTCTCGAAACCATGCAGGCCTATTTCCGGAATGGTTTCGAGAAAAGGAAGGCACGTTCGTGCTTTTATTTTTACGCTATACTTATTATTTTATTCAGAAAAACTGCGCTTTTTACAATAAGTCTTACCTATGAAGTTGGAGATTTTTAAAACCAGCATTTTCCGATTTATTATCTGTTGATGAGCGCGAAATAGGAAATTCAAATACATTTTATTCAAAAGCCATTTTATTTATATTTAAAATTCAGTTATTTGTTTATTTAACGATCTTTGAAGATTTACAGCTAAAATAACATTTTAGTGAATGATATAACAATGTGTAAGCCAATGACAAGTCTCCACTTGTCATTAATCACTCCCAAAAAAGGTCTGACTTATATAACTCTTGACTGAGGTGACTTTGGTGCAAAAACTTTTGCACAGGTTATTAAAATTGCCGCTCGCTCGCACTACGTTCGTACTGTTCGTACGTACTGTTCTATTACTAAAGGTAGAACATGAAATTTCTTGCATAGATTAGTATAATTAGCAGAGTAAGCAATCTTTTGATGGAAGCACAAGTATTTTATAAACCGTTTCTAAATTGATTCAATACGATCAATATATTTATAATAACAAGGGTCCAGACCTGAGACGCGTATTCAAGATGAGGCCGTACAAACATGCAGAATAAGATCTTAAGGGTTTTCGCTTGTGTGTAACATTTGGACACTCATTATAAGCCCTAGAACTCTGGAAGCTTTTTTCACGATTGTGTCTACGTGTTCTTCGAAAATTAATTTAGAGTCACGGTGCACTTCCAGATCGTGTGTGGAGTTACATCTGGCTAAAGCTCGGCCGCCTAAGGTGTAGATGGTTGGGATTGGCAATATTTTGCGAGTGTATGTCATTATTGAGCATTTGCTAGCATTGAGGTCAATTTTGTTGTACTTGCAGTATTCCTCTAGTACACATAGGTCTTTTTGGAGACCTAATCTATCGCTATCTGAAGATATGGTGGCATAGATCTTCATGTCGTCGGCAAAACATAGCAATTTGGAAGACATGAAGCATGTATCTATGTCGTTAATGTACACTGTAAACAACAGCGGACCAAGCAGAGAACCCTACGCCGCTCGGTACATTTACCCAACTGGACATGTAATTACTGAGCACTGTAGCCTGTGACCTATTCTCAATGTAAGAGGAGAACCATCTAAGCAAATCCCCACCAACACCGATGTTCTCAAGCTTCAAAATTAGCCTGTTATGCCCAATGCGGTGGAATGCTTCACTATAATCGGTGAACACGACATCTACTTGACTGCCCTTATCCATTGCATTAGTGATATTATCTTTAAGTAAGACGAGGTTTGTAACAGTGGATCGGCCCTTTAAGAAGCCGTGCTGGTATGGGCTGAACGAATTTGTGTGCTGAATACACCTGATTACAGATTATCCGTTCAAAAAGTTTAGCGATTATACATAGTTTGGCTATAGGCCGGTAGTTAGTAATTTTTGTTTTTGATAAAAGCTGATTTCCAGATTTTAGGGACTGTACATAAATGGAGGGATTTTTTAAAAAGAGGTGAGATAGGCTGAGATACAGAGGATGCACAACGTACTAAGAACTTCGCTGATAATTATTTATGGTAACTTAGCTGATGTTGAAGCATTCAAATCTCTTCGTGAGAGGGTTAAGACCCAAGAGTCAAGTGCTTATCAAAATTATATAAGACTTACCGAAAACTCAATAAGGGATAACCCTAAGCATTTCTGGAGTTTTTTTATCAGGGCCTGCCGCTTTCGTCGTGTCAATTTTGCGTACAAGAGAGATGCTGGAAATTGGTTCGGCAGTGGGAGAGTTAGAGATCGGCCGAGGAGCAGATGTATTAGGTGACTACGTAGTGTCCAGAAAAGTAGAGTACGAAGAAAACGCCTCGCATATATTCTCGCCAGATGTTATGACTTGGTTGTTATAGGTTACTGAGCTAGGGCGGGCACGCCGTCATTGCGGCGGTAAGACCCGTTATGGAGGATTGGCTCGAGAGGCGTCACGGGACCCTCTCATACCGATTGACGCAGGTGATCACTGGGAAGGGATGTTTCGGAGATCACCTGTGTCTGATCCGCAAGGAGCCAACGCCTGAGTGCCACCACTGCGATGGCCAGACCGTGGAAACGGCTCTCCACACGCTGGCAGAGTGCCCGGCGTGGGTTGAGCAGAGACCTCGTGGCGGCCATCGGAGTGGGAGTTCTCTCGCTCGATAGCCTGATTGCGGCTATCGTGCGGAGCGAGAGTTCGTGGAACTCTGCCGTCTCCTTCTGCGAGCAAGTTATGCTCGCGAAGGAGACGGCGGAGCGTTACCGGGAGAGGTTTAGAACTCTCCCGGCCCGCCAGGCCCGGGCACGGGCCAGGCACCGCAGGCGACTCAGGCGCCGGAGGTCGCAGAACGACCTCCGTCCTCCATAAGCGCAGGCCTGGGGGTGACAGGTGAGGCCATCTGTCACGCGTTGCGAAGCGCGCTCGCTTCCAGGGAGCACAGGGAACATGGGGTTCCCACACGGGGGGGGGGTCGTCTACTCGTCTGTAGATGACCCGAGGTATGTCGGGGCACCAGGGACTTCCTTTCTAGGGTATACCTGGTTCCCCGGCTATTAGTACCCGGCGACGGCGTGCGGTTTTAGTCGGTTCGAGTCTGACATGCCACCGACAGGTGGTATCCGAGGGGATTTCCGTACGGGAAAAAAAAAAAAAAAAACAGGTTACTGAGCTAGGGATGGCATTCGTATTGTAACTCGTCTTAACAAAACTCCAGAAATGCTTAGGGTTATCCCTTATTGAGTTTTCGGTAAGTCTTATATAATTTTGATAAGCACTTGACTCTTGGGTCTTAACCCTCTCACGAAGAGATTTGAATGCTGCAGTATCAGCTAAGTTACCATAAATCATGTTTTAAAAATTTGTTTTAAATAGATCATGAGTTTTATATGTGTAAAAGAATTGATCTTTTACACATATAAAACTCATGATCTATTTAAAACAAATTTTTAGTGTAGTAGTGTAGTAGGGTAGTGTTTTCTTTTTGTGGAATTGTGCTAGGTTTTGGCGCCATGGATAAACTGAAAATTCGTACAATTTTCGAATGTGAGTTTCTATGTGGGAATACCGGTGCGCAAACAACACGAAACATTTACGACGTGTACGGGCCTAACACTGCTTGCATAAAAACGGTTCATTATTAGTTTAGATCTGGAAATTTTGAATTAAAAAATGAGCCCCGCGGTCGGCCGGGAACAGTTGCTAACGACAAATTGAAGGCTTGAGCTTGCTGCGGGCTCTGGAGGTATCTCATATCGGAAAGATAAAATAGCTAGATAAGTGGGTGCCACACGAACTAAACGACCATCAGTGAGACTTACGCGTCGAAGCATGCATAGCACTACTAAATCGGCAAAGAAACGATAGAATTCTGAATCAAATTGTTACCTGCGATGTAAAGTGGATTCTGTACGACATCCGTAAGTCTTCGTCTCAGTGGATGGACCCAGGCACAGCACCTAATCACTACGCTAAAAAAAAGATGATGTTGACTGTCCGGTGGACCAGTGCCGGACTTGGCTGGCACTTCAATGGCACAGCAGTGACGGCAGATGTGTATTGCCATGATTTACAAACAATGATGGACAAGCTCCTAATTCAACAGCCACGATTGGTCAATCGCTCTTCCCCGTTGCTTCTCCACGACAACGCGTGAGGTCACACTTCACGACAGACCATCGCAAAGCTATAAGAGTTATAGCTGGAGGCTCTTCGTCACCCACCGTACTCACCGGACTTTGCCTCAACAGTTTACAACAGATACTTTTTCAAAATTTAGACAATTTTTAAGTGGAAAAACCCAAGTGGCAGTACAAACACTTTAGCTGACTTCATTCCTTTTCCATTTCATTTCCTTCTGTCCAGTAGACTTCAACAGTATAGGGATAAACAAACTGCCATCAAACTTGCTAAATTTGAGCCAGTGCTTTGATGAGCTAAAAAAAATAACCATTTTAGTTCCATATATTTATATATATATTCTATATATATATTCGGGATATATTTTAAAATACATATATTTCATACAAATCTTCAACTTAATAGGTAAAAATAATCCTAATAAATACTTGTATTATAGCATGGACGTGTAAACTGGAAACACTGGGCTTATAATTCTTTGTTCTAGCAAATGCAGATTGATTTTAATATATATACTTAATCTGGAAAAAAGTGATTTAATTGTTCATTTATCTATGAAACGTGATGTCTGTTTTTTTTTCTTTCGGTCGGTACGATTTTTACAGAATTTCGCCACGCAAAACATGTTGTAAATTTAAATCTTTTCGCCTGATGTTTGCGCGCGCTGACTAATGTGTGAAGTGTGCGTGTCGGCTTGTACGTACCTACTGCAAGCTGGCCGACTATGAGGGACACAGTTTTTTGTTAGTGAGATTAAGTCAGACTTTTTTTATACGTCCATGTATTATAGTAAATAAGTATCTCAACATTTGAATTGTTTATGAAGTCTAATAAATGCCTATAAAAGTCTTAAAAGCCTTTTTGATCTGGATATAATGTTAATAAAGAAAGTAAGTAAGGTAATATTGTTGTAAATTTTGTTTTTGTTTGTGTCCGTGTGGTGACGGATTAAGAATACAGACTGTCACCACCCCTATTCATCCCGTGGGTGTCGTAAGAGCCGACTAAGGAAAAAACTACGCAGAACAACAGCACTGCAGAGAGAAGGAAAACTTGACACAAACCCTATTCCAACCCGTCTGGCCAGCGTGGTGTAGTAGGCCAAAATCTCCTTTCTAAGGAGAGTCTTATGTCTCGCAGTGGACTGTTAAAGACTGTTGATGTGATGTAATGTGAAATTTTGTTATTACATAAAGATCGCATTCAGAGTATTTCTTGTAAAATGGGTTCGTAGAACAACGTGAAACAGAACTTCGTATGAAGGAGCAGATAGATAAGAAAGCAGAATACTTGGCAGTAATCCGACAGAAAGAAATGGAAATAGCGAAGGAGAATGAGACGCAGGAGAAAAGAATTGCGGCTATTAAAACGGAGTGTAATGTTATTGAACGGGAATGTGGGGTGCTTAAAGTAGGTATTCATTCATTTAGTATATCAGTCGACAGGTAGACAGGTTTAACGAAAGAGCGAAGCAATAACGAAAGGAATTTAACTCAAACTTGGCGTAGGATTTTCTTTTATAACATTAATATGTTGCTTTTTAATATTAACATTTTCAAAGTTGTAGTTAGTTAAAATATTACCTAAAGCAATTAAGAGACGCAGACTTTAGGTACTAAATAGGTTTTTGGTCGGTTCAAGTCCGACATAAACCACCGGTGGGTGGTATCCGAGGGGATTTCCGAACAGAAAAAAAAGGTACTAAATAGATAGTGCGAAGTAATTGTAGTCACACTGAGTTGTTATTGAACAAATTCATATCAATATATGCTTACTTGTGATACCTTCACAACTCTTTTTTCTAATAACTTGCATTTACATTTATAGTCCGGTCAATTTAGACCAAAAAATGAGAGTGAAGTTACATAAAGTCCCAACAAGCTGAATTTCTGTGAAGTTGTTCAAAACATAATTATAAACAATATCTAGAAGTTCCCCATCATTCCCCTGTAAGGAAAAAAATTAATTCAAGGTCAAAGGTCAAAAAAATGAGTTTTTCGCGATTTTCAGCAAAACGGTAAGTTTTATCATAAAAGTACCTCAGACAAAAATTGTAGATCATAAAATTATCTATAAAAAATGGATCAATACTTTTTTCTTACGAGCCACCGTTTCTGAGATATAACGATTCAAAAAGTTATATAAAAGTTGATATCGTCATAATATGCACACGTTTCCACGCCACCTATGAGGTAGTGTACTTAGCGCGTTTTTTTTAACGTGGTTTCCCCAGTAGGCCTACTCTACGGGTCAGTTGTGATCCTGTTTAATGTAAAACTATTGCAAAATAACGGAAATTTTCAAAGATTGGGAAAGATAAAAGCGATGTAAATGAAAAAAAAGTGTTGAAGTTTATTCGTCTTATTCGTAAGTTTCAAATTCTTGTTCTTCTTCTTGTTCTTCTTCTCCTGCTTCTTCTTCATCTTCATTTTGGATGCAAGTAAATTGCGTCAATAGCGATGTATCGCATGATACTTCGTCGGAGTCAAACGAATCCTCCATTGTTTGTGATTCAATATTAGAGCACGACCGGCCTTGACAATTTGTGCATGCCAAAGAACAAGACAGTCCGACTTTTTTGCAACCACATTTAGCACTGCATCCCTTTTTGCAGTTGCAAAAAATAGTGTTCAGCAGTTTTTCCGGCGCAGGTGGAAGTAAAGTTTGAACTGGCTCTAATATATTGTTGACCAACTTCCAACCCCAGTCTGTAGGGTCTAGCTGATAACCAAGCCACACTTGAACTTGCTAATATACTCGAAAAAGATGTTGGTGAGCAGCAACTGAGGTTGGAGGAAGACAAGCTAATTGAACTTGTTTTTTATTTTTAGTATTTTTAACGAAACATGCATGTCGATGCTTATCTAAACAGGTAGTTTTTTTAAGGAGCTCCGTACATAGAAAGAAGAAAGCGGATGCCGTTGGTAATAACTTCTTGTTGAGTTGAATTACTCTTTTTAAAAACTTCAGCACATTGAATTAAATCTTGTTTTTCAAGTAAGTATAAGTTACAATGACCGATAGAAAAATATTTAAACATTTAATATATAATATATATATATATATATATACATACATATATATTATATATATATTATATTATATTATATATATTATATATATAATATATATATATATATTATATAAAATATTACAACTCTAGATGTATATACGTGGCGTACTCATGCATATTATGACGATAACAACTTTTATAACTTTTTGAATTGTTATATCTCTCTCTACATTTTTATAGATAATTTTATGATCCACAATTTTTGTCTGAGGTACTTTTATGATAAAAATTACCGTTTTGCTGAAAATCGCGAAAAACTCATTTTTTTGACCTTTGACCTTGAATTAATTTTTTTCCTTACAGGGGAATGATGGGGAACTTCTAGACATTGTTTATAATTATGTTTTGAACAACTTCACAGAAATTCAGCTTGTTGGGACTTTATGTAACTTCGAATGTCTAAATTGACCGGACTATTACTTTAGATTACGAGTAATAACATGGAAAGTGAGTTCTATACATACATGTAGGTACAGAATTATGTTCAATAACAAACATTAATCTTTACTCCCATGCTATTTCTTTTATAATAAGAAATAACGGGTACGGGCCATAGGGTCCTACGGCTCTGTTCAACTAATTGGACTACGGGTCTTTACTAGGGGTCGTGGTCCAACTATTTCAGAAGTTGAACTTATGACTCCCCCGTATAGTCCAGTTGTCCAATTTTTGCAGCAGTTAGTTGAACAGAAACCCTTAGTTGAAAAGAGCAGGATGACCACCGCCCCGTACCGGAAATAACAGTACCTAATTTTATGATAAACGTTGTCAATTTTACAGAAACGTAACTGCGCCATATTGTTAAAGCTAAGGAAAAAACTCTTAGAAGCGGAAAACCTAAGACGCAAACGGATAAAGCAAACCTCCCAAAAAAAAGATTAAACCATAATTATTATTTAGTTTGACTTCTGCAATAAAAATGCATATCGTTTACAACGGTTATTTTATTTGTAGGAAGTACATCATTACAGTTATAAAATATCTTATATAAAAAATTACAAGGGTTTTATGTGCTAACATATTTCAATACATTGAAAATAAATAATAAAAGATCGATGTGAACATTCCTTTTGAATACAAATGTAAAGAGTAAAACTAAAAAAAATAATTACACAATACATAAAGTTAAAATTACAAGTAAAACTAGAAACAGTAAAAAAATAAATTCAATACAATTATACGACTGTAGATAAAATATAGTAAGTTTGCCTTTTCACTGTTCGACAGATTAAGTACAGAGACTGGGTAGGTATTCAGTAACTAACTGACAAGCTGATCATGGTCGGGACCAAGACGGCCAGTGTTCAAAGGAGTTATAATATAAACGTGGTTAGTTCATTAACCAGATGAATAGATCAAGATTGGATTGCAACGTTTAGTATTATTGTTTTTTTTTTTTTGGATTCGCAATTTGGAAGAGTGATATGTATACACACAGAACGTATACATAACCTCTGCCATCAAACGAGTGAGCTAGGTTACATACTAAGTCCGATTGCTTCGTTCAAATTCGTTAGTTTGCTCATAGCCTGAGAAGTAGATTCTTATATGTCACTCAGTCCCTGCAATCGTACTGAGGCAATTGAAATACAAAAACATCAAAAACACAAAAAATAAAAGCTTAATTAAAAAAGATTATTAAAAATAGACTAGGTAAATGAAATCATGCTAAGGATCACAAAGAGACTGAATGCAAAGTAATCCTAAGTAATGGGTACACCTAATGGTATTGTTTTCTCATGGACATGCATTTTACTGAATATATTCGTTTAAGGCAATCGGTAATTTCTAGTTTCTTTTTTCAATTTTAAAAGCCACTTATTGATTGCATGGTGTTTTTATTATGAATATGTTTCTGGTTGATTACCGCCTTATAATTAAAGATAAAATACACGCTAATGAGGTTGCAATTATTTAGTTATCTAACTGAAGTAGTAAAGCCACGCTTCGTTTTATCCAATGAGCTGACGGTTTATTTGATGGCAGATAAAATGCCAAAACAAAATTAGATGAATGACCGGTAGTAGCCAGTACGCCCTTTCTCTCCAGAGTTTTATATAAAGGACATTTATACCTCGAGCCTTCTCGGAATTCAGTTTTTAACTTAGGATATAGCCAAACAACCGGCAGAAGGTCGTTTAATATTTTTGGGAACTGTTCGGCTATAGAAAACTCTTTACGATCCCATCGTCCCCCATCCATAAAAAGACCCTCTACATATACTCCCCATCCAGGTGGAGATTTCTCATAATCTGTACGGCGAACTTCAAAATCAAATATCAATAAGTCTATAGGAATTTTTTTAGCTCTGGCATAATTTTGGATGGAACCAGTGAGAAAAGCTTGAGTAAAAAAGAAACCTGATAACCAAAATGTAGGCGGTTTTCCCTTTTCATACCAATTGTTTAACATACTTAGACGTTCTATAAAGTCAGAGACATAGCTAGGTAGTGGCTTTAAGCTTGGGTAGGATACTTTGCGCCAGTTATCTGGGATTCTTCCTAATAACATGGCATTAGATTGTAAGTCTAAAGCAGGAGACATTACGATTAGACCTTTTACTGCCTTTTGTAAGTCTTTTAAGGATACCGAAATCTCATTTAATAGCTTATTAAAACGTTCCATTTCTTGTATCAAGACTGTATTCATAGACTCACTGTAATCGACTGGATAATATTTTTGGGCTGTTTCAATATCAAACGCTTTGGGCAGCTTAGAAATTATTTCTGTAGCCATTTGTACAAGAATAACTTCTGTATTTCCACTATCGCCACTGCCACCACCACCTTCAACGAGTACCAAGGACGCCGTTAATGCCATAGATGCAGCATAATCACGAGTTATACCAGCATTCATATGTAGTCCAAACACTTCAGGGGGAGGATTTACAGGAACTGTTTCAATATGCTTAAGATAATCTTGATATTCGCATCTACGAGGTAATCCATATTGAGGCCCGATGTCGCAAAATGTGTAATTTGGATCATTAACTACTCCAGGATTAACATAGTTATCTAATATTGTAATTATCAACCGACGATCCCAGTCATCTGTGACTCTACCACCGTAATTACATTCACCAGTTAAGTATTTTACGGCTACATATTGTATTTCTTCGTACTGATTTAAAAACATTTGTAATTGCATTACTGATATTTGAAAATCGGAATCATTAAAACCATATTGAATATTCCATCCCAAAGGACCAAACTTTTTTCTTTCTTGTACTACAGCGTGGAAAAAACTGATTCCGTATAAGAGCTTACTAAATGTTTTATCCTTTCCGGGACATCCTTCGAAAAAATCAGTTTCTTTTAGAGGTTCCGAAATATATGAGCGATTCAGATTATGTTGTAAGCCTGTAGGGGGCTCGTTTGTCATTTTGACACCGATCTGCAGAACCGACTGCGGAAATTTATCAGAAGGGTAGCTTGTCAACCATAGTCTAAAACTCAAATCTGTGTTAGTTAAATCAAACGCTTCTATAATTTTTTCCAGAACTGGGAGCCAAGAAACTGCTAAATGGCAATTTTGTAAACAAACCCAACCACCTTCAAGCTGGGCTTTTTCTATCATGGCCCGTGCAATAGGACCTTGCCCCTGACCTAGGGATATGGAATTAAATCTATTTAAATAACCCATACGTTCACAATATTTTATTAAAGCTCCCATGGGATCGGACCCAGGTGACAAAATAAATATTAAAGGTGCAAGGCAGTTTGAATCACCAAATGATTTCCCAATATCAAATGGTGGTGGGGTCGTGTATTTTTTCCCCATTTGTTTTTCAACGAATTCAGATATAGCTATGGTTAATTTATCGGGCCTTAATATTCTCACTACCAACAGTTTCTGAAATTGTGACAACTTTTCATCCCAAACCCCTGGTAAAATTTTAGTGTGGGGCTCTAAGTCGTCATAAACTTCTTTCCATTGAGATATGTTTTTTGTGAAATCCTTGTGAAAATCCTTGTACTTTGGCAAATTACTAATGCGGCAAATTTCGTCCCAACTTTTAACAGGAATCCATTCCACTGGTTTTTTAATGGGGTTTTCGATGGCAATACCCCCTGTTATCAGAAATAGATGTTCGTCTGTATCCATCTCTCCTGTCGACAGCATCATTTTAGAGCACATAATGAATGAGAACATAAGTTTGTCCTTATCAAAAAGTGATCTGCATACATTACTATATAAATTGTAAGTAAATGTATCTTTAAGAAATTTCAACCTTTTTTCTAAATCTTTTGATTTATTCGCATTTTCGATTGATAATATATATAGATTAATAAACCATGTTAAGGAATATTGATACATAGGGTCGACATTTGGTAATTCAGTGACACAATAATATAATACAGCAGAATGTGAAGCAATAGGTCTATAGCCAAGACGAAACTTCTCTATTACTATTTCCGTTTCTAAACTAGCTTCTTGTTTCTTCATAATATCAACAGCTAATAATTTCGAGGAGTCTAATACTTCTATAGCACTTTCATCTTCTAATATATCACCCTTGGATTCTTGTAACGTACGCAATATGTCATCTTCAACTTGCTTCAATGCTGCTCGATTAGCGGCACCTTGTACTATCAGCTTTTCTCTTTTCTCTTGCAAATCCGGCCTTTCTTTTGCTACAACTATACCTAATAGTTGGTCTTCCAATCCATCTTTAGTGAGAGCAAAATTAATTAAGGTTACTTTGTTAAAAATTTCTGGAAGATAATGTGGATTACGTAATTTAGTCGTCATGTAAAGTCTAAAATTAGGATGATATTCTATAACGTTGTCTCCTATAGCAATAAATTCCCTGCCACCCTGCATATACGTATTTTTTAGCAGAATCGGATCTAATGGCGCTTCTACATCTTCAAGTACGCTATCCACCAGAGCTGGTTTGCCATATTCTAAACAAGCTTCAATAACTTTCATGTAGTTGCCATCCGTAAATTTCACCACTTGTAGGTCACATGATTTTTCCATTGTTTTAATCCATTTATTAGCTTGTCCTTGAGGATCAATAAGTAAAGACCACCTCATTGAATTGTCTTGTATGACTCCATTATCTACAGAAAAAGAGTCCCTGGGTAATCCAGCAATACACCAATTTTGAATTTTTATGTCAGTCCCAAGAATATCTTTGAAAACAAAATGCTCTGAATGTGGCATGTCTAGTTTAATAACTTGGTCTCGCCATTTGTCAATCATTTTCGTTCTAATAGGTAAAGTATAAGGAGCTAAATAAGCAATAATGCCACATGATACCAGAATATCACCGGCTAAATTGTCAAAAAGAGTTTGCAAATTTGCAGCTGCTTGTGTCCAGCGTACTTTTTCTCCACCTAAGCCACCTATCAACTTTTCCGCTCGATATAATTTGTCAATACATAATTGAACCTCATCTTCTAGAGCTTTCTTTTTTGTGTTCGCTTCCTCCAACGCCTCGTTTAGTTCAGCCAGTTTAGCTTCTAATCTCGCTACAGTTGCTTTTTTTTCCTCTAAGATAGCCATTGTTTGGGCAAATTCTCTTTCAGCGGCTTCTAATTTTGCCTTTTTTGGAGCTACTACCTTGGCCACTGCGTCATACATGTCCATTGCAATAATCCACTTACATAAACCTTCAGCGGCCGTAGAAGCTTTTGCGACTATGTGAGGCTTAAAGTCTTTATTAGTTAGATATTCTTTTCTAATTTTTTGCATGACTGGAATAGATATGTTATCTTTATCAAAGTTTTTCAGTGACTCCAAAAAACTCATATCACCTAGGATTCTTTTACTTGGACCCCAATAATCAAAAATTTTTTTTCCTGGATTATTAGGATCAGGAATTTTATCAGGGGGAACACCTTTTATGACACACACTGCCGCCATAACCAACTTCACTGTGTATGGTGGATTTTTCATTGATTTTACAATAGTGATATCAGCGGGTTTTAACGTGTTTAAGGCAGCAATAGCATCTTCTAGAATTGGCATTGCAAGAGCTAAATCTGCTTCACAGTCTTTTTTTAGTTCTTGAGCAGCTGCTGCCTGGATATTAGCCACTTTTTGATCTTCTCTTACTTGAGCTGCTGCTTTATCGGCAATTGCAGTTTCAGTTGCTATCTCCTCCATCATTTTAACCGATTTTGCCGCCATTATCATGAGCTGAGGTTTCAAAGCGCTTAAGTCACGTTGCATTATAGTAACTGCTTCAGCAGCCTGACTGAGCTTATCTAAACCGTTGGTATATCTAAGTTTGGAGGCTCTTAATTCCCTTTGTTTTCTATTTGTTAATGTAGTGAAAGATTTGATTAAATCCAAGTATGATGCAGATGTAATATATGTTTTTCTTCCGTAATTATTATAAAAGTCTGTTGAGACAATACGAGCATCAACATGAAATTGTTTACAAATAATCACTGCAGACGCCTTCACCTTGTCGGGAACATTTACTTTGTACATATAATGATGTGCCACCATTTCTAACGCATCTTCAGGCCAACTATCATACCAATCAATGGTGCAGCAATTCACTAAAGCCGGATAAAGCCTCAATCTTGTTCGGAAAGCACTCCCTATGGGGCTAAAACATAGCACAATGTGTAATTTTGCTTTACAGCGACCCACAAAGAAAGAAAATATTTGTAACGGACTTATATCTAGGTTTCGGTTTCCACCTTGTGCTGCTAAGCGAACAAGCTCAAGAATTTCTTGTTGTTCATCTAAGCCATATAGGTTCGGCACTTCGCCAGAATTAAGGAGACCGTCAAGATTTTGTATAAACAGTTCTTCTTTTATTTGATTCTCTGTAAATAAAAAAGTCGTGTCTTTATTAAGACCACCAGATTCACGGAGTACTTTTTTAATATCGTCTTGCCAATCTTTATTGCTGTAAGATTTTGTAATTTCTGGTTGAAAAACACTTTGACCTAACATAGTGCCGGCTAGTCGTGTTAGTGATTGACGACCAGAGCCGCCAACACCAACCAATAATGCATTTCCTGAAGGCATGGATAGAAGCCTGCAAATTTTCGATAAATGTTCTAAAGCGTAGTCAAATAATACTATATTCATTTTTGATTTGTGCATTGCATTATATTCGTTTAACATTGTAAGGGCTACATTTAATACTACTTCTCTGGAAGGAATCTCTTCATAACGACGTTCACCTTCGGGACTATCTGTGTCTAAATAACAACCAAACATCATATTTTTTATAGTTTCTTGGGTAACTTCTTCTTTGTCATTTTGATATGTGTCTAAAGCGTTTTCAAAAGTTTCCTTCATAAAATCTTTGGTAGACTTCTTGAGAACTGTATAAAACCACGTCCTGTCATCGGCATCTACAAGTCTATCATAAAATACTCGCAAAATCTCGTGTACCCAGACTCTCGTGAAAGTTTTCTTGTTTTCTGCGCTTTCTTTTCTTAACAATGCACATCCCTGAATTACTCTCGAAAAATCTCTTAGATTAAATATGTAATGCGATTTTGCTGGTGTCGGTCTTAAACCTTCCATTGCTTGGTTATATATATCCATTGTTGCAGGTATAATATTAAGTATATAGACTTGAGCGTCTTGACCAAATCCATTTCTTTTCCACCCTAATTGTAATAAAGACGAAAATATCTTAGTCATACTTTCTTTTGAAAATTCATTAATAGAATAAATATTGTAATGTCTTAATAATCTCGGATAAATCAATTGGCGGCTGCCACCGACGGGACCTATGGCTCCATAGAAGAACGTGTCCAAAATGAATAATTTTTCTGTTGTTTTTAAATCGTACCAATGTTTTTGATCGAAATATAATCTAAGTAACTCTATAGCTGGTTGAGCTCCATAAACTTCTTTGGCGGGCATATTCATATCGTCAATAAATATTATGGCCTGTTTACCTTTAGTAGGACCATAAATACCTCTTCTCCTTTTGACCAATTTCGAAAGAACCAAATCTTGGGTTTGATTACAAGAGGTAGTAGTAGTGAAAGTCAAAAATCCTGGAGTATATTTGTCAATATTAATAGAATTCATTAAATAGTTCTGAATGTAAAAGCTTTTGCCCGTCCCTGTTGGCCCGATGAGAAGCAGAGGCTGTCTAAATTTTGTATGTAACTCTATTAGAGCCATGTATTTTTCGGTTTCCAATGTTGGGATCACAGTTTGCAATAAATTAATCTTTTCTTTGACTTGAACTCCTTTGACTGTCTCTCCCCATGATTTCCAACATCCTTTACCTTTGTACATGTAATAATGATCAATTATCATTCCCTCGCTTGGTATAGATACATCAATTCGATCGATTGAAGCCGGTATACCGTATTCACCTCTGAAGTAATCTTTTAATAAAACATCAAATTGTTCTCGAGAATGAGAATTTAATATTCCACCCACACCCCAAACTAACGCAGTCATAAATGATGCTACGAACCAAGTTCTTGAATATCTTGTGTCCTCTTCTCCCTCTACGGCATTATCCATTAACATGACTATCAATCTGAGTGTGCTGATTATTAAGTTTACTTCTCCAGCTGTAACCAGTTGTACACATTGTTTTCGAACAAAGTATACAAACGGTTCAAAGAGCCATTTGCACATCTCGAAAATGTATTCCTCATTGTCCTCTGACCAAATAGGGTTTAAAGTTTTCAACCAGGACTTATAAAAAGGCATAAAACCAAGAGTAGCTGATTCCATGTATATCATTCCACATCTAGATACAGTAGCAGGAGATGCTTGAGTTAAGTCCATTACTTCAAATATCATTGACATAACATTGGTCATAGAAATCACTTCTCCAGACGTCAAACAAAGTTTTTTGTTGTCATCTAATACTGTGTTCATATTTTCAATCCAAACAGCGTCTACCGGACCATCAAACACAATCCATTTTCTAACAGGTGTATCTTCTGATGCAAAATTTCTAAACATGGTTGCTACTATACCATCAGTCCATTCGTAAGAAATTGGATCAAATGCTCCGTATAGCTGACCCATAGTAACGGCTTTTGGATTTAATACTTTATATGTGCATTCCGACCCATTTACTTGGTTTCTTTCATACATAAGAGTAAGGGCCTGAGACAATGTCTTCAGTGTCATTGACTTGCCAGAAAAGGGATCACCTACTAGCATAAATCCATGTCTAACAATCATCATTTCATAAGTTTGTGTTATTTTTACCAGAAAACTTTCCAGTGGCTGGAGATTATCTTTTTCACAACTATCGACGCAGGCATTTAGAAAGTTTATATAGTCAGGTTTAGGTAAACCAATTCCCGGGAACAGGTCTGATATAATACCTTCAAACAGAGGTACATCAAATGACAAAAACTTTGGTAGGTTTACGTCAGTAATAGATCGAAGTAGTAGGATACTCTCTCTTTCATGTGGATATGCCCGTTTCAAGTTACCAGCTGCTGATAATACTGTTTTTACAGCACGCATTCCATAGTCGTAGTGATTTTGTGATGATAGTTGTTCTGAACATAATCGATATGTTGTAACAATTTTAACAGATAAGCTTCGAGCATCTATAAAGCCGAAGGAGTATAAGGAAATTTCTCCTATCATTGCGTAATCTGGAACCATCATAGCGACTGTCCTAAAGAGTACTTTTAAATTATCAGGTAACTCCGAACGCCCTGCATAGCCGGGATTCATAGTTATACACACATAACAAGCAGGATTTAAAGTTAAAGTAGTCCCCTCAAATAAAAACGTTTCCAATTTCTGACGCACGGCTTGAACGATGCATAGAATTTGCTGTGCTATTACAGACAGTACTTCAACGTCAATCCTGTTAAATTCGTCAAAACACACCCAGGCTCCACACGAAGCCAACCCTTTAAAAAATTTACCCATGGCTTTATAATCTAGTCCATCAGAACAATTAAATACAACACACTGAACGGCGAGTGCCTTAGCTAAATCTTTAGTTGTTTCAGTTTTGCCGGTTCCTGCGGGTCCTTCTGGAGCACCATTTAAGTGGAGATAATAAGCACCTACGAGTGTTCGGTAACATCTATCTGTTAATGGTGTAATAACCAAACGGTCAGAATTCCCAAGGTATTCATAAGCATAGTTCACAACAGCATTTATTATTTTGACGAGTACCTTTTCATCCTCCCAGTAGTATCGAAGTTGTGCCAACCATTGAAAGTCTGTAACCTCGTTTACCTGTTTTTCTATTAAATCAGCAATCACGTCTTTTGCGTGCACGTCGATAACAATAAGAGCTTTCACTGTTATACTGCTCAATTTACTTATATCTGTGCGTCGAATTATGGCTACCGTTTCAGCGAGTTGTTTAGTTAAAGAAACATGAAACGACTCTAACTCATGTAAGTAATGAGTATTTAAAGCATCGTGAACGTCTACAGCCCAGTATATTTGAGATACAGCAAGAACAACCATACCTTCCCAGGACAATATCCACTCGGGCCGAGTTACATTCTGATAATCATAATAGGACAGTTCAGTTTCCGATTTCACCGCTTTCAACATTTGTTCTTCGACTTGCACCAGCCATTTCTCCACAGAGCCTCTTGCCGCTTCGACACTAATTGTAGCCAGAAATTCTACTCGTTCACCTTCCATAGATATCATCGCAGAGATATTAAATACCTCGTCAAATACTAGTCGATTAATACCCTCAAAACATTTTTTTAAATGGGGTTGCACTTTAAGTGGGTTCTTAGTTTCAGATAAAATTTCCAACATTTCATCGTTAGATAAAAAGAAGAATCGTGGAAAATATAGCCTCTTCTTTTCTAAATAATCATTAACACCATCATTAATTTTTTCCAGTAAGTCTGACGCTAACTTAAATTGTTCTAATACTCCAAAAGCACCAGCGAGCTCGAGTGCATGTGGATCTTTATCTACACATCCCATAAATCTACGATAAATATTATTAACTTCAACAAACATTACTCCTTCTTCTGGCATTTGCGCCACAATATCTTTAGAAGAAAAAATAGGCAGTAGATACAGCCACTGACTTTGCACTTTACCCCATTCATCTATTGTGGCATTTGCTCTTGTAATATTGTCGTACCATTCTTTTACTCGCGATTCAAACGGTTTAACAAAAGCTGACCCCCTCATTCCGATTGTTTTAACTATGTGGTCATCTAAAACACTTTGTACATCATCTAATCCAGAAAGTATGTGTATTCCCGTATCCTTGTATGGACTTGTTTTGAAGCATATATCAGCCCATTCGGCAATCATTTTATTGAGACTCGTTACTAGAGCAAGTTCTTTTGTTGCAGCTATACTAATGATTTCGTATTGGTCAATCTGACTCCATAAATTACTATCTATAATTTTTCTTAATGTTGTTCCAGCGGTAGGAGTTAAATCAAAACCAGCAATGAGAGACATTTCATCCCAGTGCCTTTGTACCAATGCAGGATTACACATAATATGAGCCATTTGTACATTAGGTCTCCAATCCTTCAATTCGGCGACAGCTTGAGCGCATAATTTCATAGGAGCTGGGAGATTGTTTAGGTCAAAATCATCTACTAGTCCTTGAAATCTTCTTTCTACACCCTCAGCAATTTGCTGTTTTATTTTCATCTTATAATTTTTAGAGATCTTTAGAAATTCTTTGTAATAATAATCGTGGTCTTGTTCTATTTGGTTGTGATCCAAATACTCGAATGGCCCATCCATCCAGGTATAGTAACTCCGTTTCCAGGTATGAAGAAGGTAAATAAGGCTGTGAAAGGGTATAATATATTCTTTCAATTCTTCTAAGTCTGGATATGTAGTAACAGGAAATTTAAATGTTTTTTCTTCTTTATTAATCCACTTGACAAGTTTATTACAACCATCCAACCGATGTACTAGTTTTCTTAAATACTCTAAATATTCAAACGTGTGATGGATATCGTCCATATTATCTAATAGTTCTAAATAAGGTGACATGTCAATCACTTCCTGGTTAAGATATGCAATTTGACTGAGCAGGTACTCTTCCATCTCTGATTTAGTGGATTCGTATGCCGTAGCGTTCCTTTCAAAAAGAGGTTTTATGTCTTTGAGCCAGTTAACAGTCCGCGTATTTGACGCGAGGTGTTCTGGTGTTAAAGAAATCATCTGAAGAAGATTAGAAACAATATTAAGTTGTACAGAAATTCTTTCTTTCAAGGCTTCAACTAAAACAGTTTTTGCCTTCAAAATATAAATTCCCTGTTCTATTAATTCTTCTGCATCCTTTGGCTGTTTTAAAGCATTTGCAGCTATTTCTTCGAACTCGCTGCAGATGCTGTTATTTTCCTCGATATGTGATCTTATTATTCCTGCTATTATGTCGTTAATAAATTCAGATGCTTTACGTTTTAAGCCATCAACCATTTTTAGTTGCCCTACAATCGCACAATTAAAATATGCGTTTTCTAAAATTGCCGTTATTTCAGAATCAATTTCTCGGAAATATTGAATTTTATCCCGTGATTCGTCAAAACCTTCATTTTTTCTAATAAATTCAAAGAGGGCTTCTTTTGCTGCATCTCCATACAACATACTGTATTGTTGGCGAAGATTATATAAGTAATTACAAAGGGGCTCAAATACTACAAGTAATTGGTTTTGTAACTTTTCATGACCGTTGTTATTTAACCAGGTATTATAGCGAACTGGTAAAGCATCGTAGTCGTATGGTATTTTAAGATATTCTTCTATCGGTATAAGTCTTTGTGCTATGTGAGCTATTGCATTTGCGATGTTATGGTATACTCCGTAAACTGTTTCTAATGATGGATTGTAAATAAATTCTCCATCTAAATGTAAATCTAAATTGAGAATAGGGATAGACTCTGGATTTTTTAGCGATTCTACTATAAAGTCGATGGACCTACGCATCAACTCCTGAATTTGCATTGATATAATTTTTGAGGCAACAATTATAAATTTTGGTATTCTGCTAGTACGCATATTCCTCAAACATCGTGGGTTTTTCAGCCACTGAACTAGAACCCCGTACCATGTGCTAGACACTAAATAGTCAGCACGTTTTATTTCCTCCAAAACCTTTGTCTCAAAATCATGTAAATTTAAAAGACCTTGAGCTCTATATCTAGCTAAATCGATTATGTGTTCTGGAAACATCTTTTCAGCAGACTCCACAATAAGCCTAATAAAAGGGTGAAGTATAAGGGTTTGCTCTTGTAACTTTTTACGAAACTGAACTAATTTAAAATAATTTTTAGTGATAGCCCTGTATTTAAAATAAGATTCTTGGTATCTTACTCGAGGCACACCTGGTTCATCTCTAATTATAGTCTTCACAGCCAGTTCATGCAGGTTTTTATTCCACTCCTCTTTGCTTTCTTCAATAAGATCTACTATCATTTTAGGAAATTCGTTATGTAGTTTGGCGGAGATCAAACTGGAAATTTTCCGTTCCCATTGCTTTAACATTGGCGCCGGCTGAATATGTTTGGCGCATTGGCGTAGCACTTCGATGTGATGTGTTTGTGCTATCTCTAAGCGGTCACGCTCCAATCGTTGCAGAGGTAATCTTGACACAGCAATCTTGTTTTGAGTTGCTTTTTCTTCAAGTATTTTGCGAAATTTTCTTTGTCTTTCCTGAAACCACGAATTATTGTTCAAGTTTAGTTGAACTTGAACATAAAAGAAGCAAAAATAACAACAAACCTACTATTGACTAGTAACGAACCTGATCACAAGTATAACTACAAGATTTGTATGAATAACAATAGTAATAACTTTATTGCCTGAAAAATGTTTACAAGATTGTTGTTTACATGCACGGACCAGGAAATCGTAGGTAAAAAATCACAAACAGTGATCGCTGCAGAACTACGCAAGACCTGTCGAGGGAAACCCTCAATTTTTACAGGTCCGATAACGTGTTTTAGCTTGTTTCTCTAGCTTTATAGGTATTTGCGTTTATTAGTCGTTTTGTCATGTTGCTGAGTTGATGATGGAAGGATCCTCGACCTTTAGGAGTTAGAAAATAACTCTTTCAAAAATCTAATTATCTAACCTTGTTTTATTCTTTCAAGATATTTGTTAGATGTTTGCGTGGGGTTACAGAGATATGTACACAAGAGAGTAATAAATGAGATTACAAAACATTTAGACAAAAAAAAGTTTGCTACGCAATTATTTTCATGTTTGTTACCTCAAAACTCTTTCATTTGTAAACATATTTGGAAAATTCTTTTTGGTGGTCCATTACCACCAAATCAGGATTTGATGATAGGATCCTAGAGAAATCGATGGAAACCTTTAAATTTTACAGGTCCGACAACGTGTTTTAGCTTGTTTCCCTACCTATATAGGTATTTGCGTTTATTAGTCGTTATGTCATGTGGCTGAGCTGATTATGGAAGGATCCTCGACCTTTAGGAGTTAGAAAATAACTCTCAAAATCTAATAATTATCTAACCTTGTTTTATTCTTTCAAGATATTTGTTGGATGTTTGTGTGGGGTTATAGAGATATCTGCACAAGAGAGTAATAAATGAGATTACAAAATATTTTGACAAAAAAAAAGATTGTTACACAATTATTTTCATGTTTGTTACCTCAAAACTCTTTTATTTGTAAACAGATTTGGAAAATTCTTTTTGTGATCGAAAGTGTATACTCCCGAGGTGGTCCTAGAGAATCCTAGAGATCCTAGAGAAATCAAGGGAAACCCTCAATTTTGACAGGCACGACCGCGTGTTTTGACTTGTTTCTCTAGCTATATAGGTATTTGCGTTTATAATTCGTTATGTCATTTTGCTGAGATGATGATGGAAGGGTCCTTGATCTTTAGGAGTTAGAGGATAACTCTTTCAAAAATCTAATCATGTATTAACCTTGTTTTTTTCTTTTAAGATATTTGTTAGGTGTTTATGTTGGGTTACGGAGATATGTGCACAAAACAGTAATATATGAGATTACAAAACATTTAGACAAAAAAATGATTGTTACGCTTGTTATTTTCATGTTTGTTACACCAAAACTATTGCATTTGTAAACCGATTATAAAAATTCTTTGTTTAAATGGAAAGGTATATTTCTTCTTTATTTCCATTCAAATGTGAAGAAAAAATACCAATCCTAGTTAATTAATTAATGTGGAAAACAATATATTTTTGGGTTCAAATGTAACATCTTACTACATTAACTAAATAAAGTAACGGAATTATTAAATAAAAAAAACCGGTCAGGTACGAGTCGAACTCGAGCGCCGAGGGTTCCTTACCTACCCAGATTTTACATAGATTTTTGCGAAAATTTGTAAGTACCAAAATTTATCTTAATTTTATTTTTATTTTTTGGAATTATTCCTTTATTTGTGCTGTAAGACGTTTCTTTTTGCCAAATTTCGTGATTCTAGGTCAACGGGGACTATCGTATAGGTTTTCGACCCAAAACCTATAGGGTACTTCCGGTTGACCTATAATTGTCAATTTCGGTTAAAAGCAAGGTCTTACAGCACAAGTAAAGAGACAATTCTGAAAATAAAAAAAATGGAAAATTAGGATCAATTTTAATACTTACAAGTTTTCGCGAAAATCGAAATTTGCCCATATCTTTTTATCTTATTGACTCAGGACCTTGATTTTATACACCTAATAGGGACCATAGACCTCAGTATCTTTTATAAATTTCAACTTTCTAGGTCTATCCGTTCCTGAGAAAATCGGTGGTGACACACGGACAGATGGACATACGTACAAGAAAGTGTACTTATAAGGGTTCCTTTTATTATCTTTTGAGGTACGGAATCCTAATTAATATAATCTAACATTTTGGTACTATACATTGCGGTACGTAGAGTTTTAAATATCGTACTTATCTTACTTATTACAAACATATATTACACTAAAAATGGTAAAATAAATCCTTTTACAACTGTTTACTTTTTAACTGTTTACAAAAAAACAGTTAAAAAAATATTACAAATCTAAGTAAAAAAAAAACTATTATAAGTACACCCGTATTATAAGTACCCCACCCCAATACATTTAGTCAAAAAAGTATCGGGAATGGATGATTTGTTTATGGTTCCAAATTCAATTTTTTTTTGTTGTTGTTAGATTTGCACAACTGTTTTCCATTTTGGCGCGGAGTTTGAGTTGCACCTGTTATTTATATTAAATATAGTGCTCTTTTTATTTATATCATATTTAGTGTGTATTGGAAATTTCATAATGAACAAAAACATCGCACAGAGTTTGTCTTAAATTTTGCATCGCTAATGGGATTTCGTCTTCGGAGTCACTGAAAATGTTACAGAAGTCTTACGGCGAAAGGTTTTTATCAAAAACTCGTGCTTATGAGTGGTGCAAAGCGTTCAAAAGCGGTCGAGATGTGATGAAACATTTGCCTCGCTCTGGTAGGCCATCAACATCTGCAACTGAAGAACATCACAAAAGTGAAGGAAATAGTGAGTGAAAATCCTTAGTCAACTTTGAGAGAGATAGCCGCCAAACTTTCTATATCTCACGAGTCGATCCGTACCATTTTAACTAATCATTTGGGTATGAAACATGTTACCGCTCGGCTAGTCCCGAAAGACCTGAATTTTCTCCAAAAACTCAATCGCACGAGAGTCGCTGACGTGCTAGAACGAGTCAATTCCGACCCAACATTCATGAAGCGCATTGTTACTGGTGACGAGACGTGGGTTTACGAGTTTGACATGCAAACTAGTCAACAAGCTTCGGAGTGGCGCCTTCCAACTGAACCGAAACCGAAAAAACCAAGCCAAAGTCGATCAAAAGTCAAGTCATGTTGACTGTTTTCTTTGACTATCGCGGTGTTGTGCACTCGCAATTCTTGCTAGAAGGTCAAACGGTAAATAAAGAATATTATTTGAGCGTTATGCGGCATTTAGATTGTGGAAAGAAAATTCTTGGATTTTACACCACGAAATTGCGCCTTCGCACAACGCTATCATTGTAAACGAATTTTTGACCAAACACTCAACAAATACCATCGAGCAACCACCATATTCACCAGATATGGCTCCAGCCGACTTCTTTCTTTTTCATAAACTCAAATTACCACTTCGTGGCACCCGTTTTCAATCGGTAGAAGACATAAAGGAGAATTCGCGGCGAGAACTGAACTCAATTCCGGAAATATTTAGCGTTTAAAAAATGTTTTGATGATTGGATTATTCGTTTTCGTAAGTGTATCGTTTCTGAAGGAACATACTTTGAAGTTGATAAAATAAATTTGGATGAATAACAAACATTTTGTGTGTGTATGTGTTCTTTTCCCGGTACTTTCTTGACAGAGTAGTATAACAGGTAACATTATAATAGCAAGCGTCCCTTCTAGTATGTTTGAAGTCGGTGCGAAACCCGATTCGCAATAAGTAATACTGATCTACGTCAGCTTTATATTAGCACAATATAAAAAATAAGAATTCAATACAATTCTAATGAAACATCGCAGTTTTTGTTAATTATAAAGACGGTTGGTCTTTATAATAATAGATCAATTACGTGCGCAAACTTATCCACTACTTAATAAAGCATTCAAAATTAAAATATCATTGGAGATGTGTGTAACCCACTTTATAGCTCGTTCAGCATGTTTTGCGCAGCATGAAGACTGTTGCCACTACCGCGCTACATTCTACCAAGCCCATCAAACACCGATTTTGCTTGGAGCCGACTTCAAACAGACTAGAAGTGACGAATGCTATTATAATGTTACCTGTTCTATTGAGGGTACTTATTTGTTACCTTATTTGAGGGTTTTTTACTTAGTTATTATTTTAAAATTTTTAGTGCTTTTTGTCAGTATTCTTTTAAGTCGGTTATTTTTTTTTAAAAGGATTTATTTTATGTGTTTCAATTTAAGAACTATTTGTAATGATGACGATGAAATTGTCATCATTAAAAATAATTGTTTGATGAATACGATCATTTGTTCTTTTCCTCGATTTAATTTATCTAAACGGTGTCCCTTAAGTCATGGATCAACGGGATGTGGGCAATAGACGAAACCATTTTCTAGAAAAAACATAAAATTTTGTTGTAGTTTTCCCCGCCTGCAATCATTGCATCCATTCTGGCGGGTGAGGAGGGCTGGGGCGCAGTGGTTTCTTTTAGTGAAGCTGACAGCTTCACTAAAAGAAACCACTGCTCAAGAAAGAGACCGCTGAATGGGATCGGGAGAAGGTTGATCGCAAGCGTAAAGAACGTCGACGGCGATATCGGCCGTCGACGGGGCCGCAAGCTGCCAGAGAGCGGGGACTTCTGACTGATTAATTGCTGCGGCAGGCGTTAGGATGGCGGCCTGCACGCAAAATGTGATCGGGTCGCAACACATATTCATTAGGCTGATAGAGGGGGGGAGAGGGATCCTGCTTCCCCCGAGATAGGGCCTTGAGGTAACACGGTCTGGGTGCTCCCCAGCGCAGGGCGCCTGAGAACGGCTGTCGGGGTGGTTTTTAGTTGAAACACCACATACTTCTGGCACCTATGTACACAAGGAGCCGGACATCTGAAGGGATTTTCCAGCCCATCAACAAAAAAAATGGTCTTGTGGTTTTGAATTTATGATTTTTAAATTGTCGGACTATGAGTACGTAGTTAAAGGACGAGTCGTACTGTAGTTACAGGACTGACAACATATCCACATTTAAGCTCTCTACCACTCCCCGAACGCGAGTTAGCAATTATCTAAGTTTTGCAAAAAAATGTTATTTTTTTTGCAAATTTCGGGCGTTTTGATGGTCCGATTTTGCTCTCTGAAGGTTCATTCTCTTTGTTTTTTTATCGCGCACTTTTGTTACACTCAACTGTTTTTCGTAGGAGTTTTAGTTTTCGCTACAGAAGCGAAAAACTACACACAATTACTTACAATTTTTATTGCAATCAATTCCTGATAGATCTTTAATAAATCCATTTTTTAGCTTCAACAGGAATTTTCCGGACTAAAAAGCTAATACTACCTGTCTATAGTTCGGGATTAGACGGCCGACTGCCAGCTCATACCAATTTAACATAAGAAGATAAATAGAAAGTGCGTATTCTTACTTTGAGTCTATTGTAGGGCGGTAACGGTGTAAATGGCAGCTTCCCCACTTGGTCCGTATCAGGTAGAGGCGACATGTATGGAATTCGACAACCATTCTTCGTTTGCAATAACTTTTTAAGGTCACGCTCTTCCATCTCAAACGTTAACGTCTTTGCGTCCTTTGTATGAAGACATAAAATAAATGCTCTTTCTTCGCTTCCGTATTGATAAAAAAAATGTACACAAACTAAATTTATTAAAAATATAAATAGGTAGAAAAGAAAGTATTTAGAAATATAATATATTTCTAAATACTTTATATATTATATATTAAATATATTATATGATAATATGATATTTCAATAATAATAATATGACACTGGCAGTAATGTCGAGTCAAAAACATTTGTTTCTTTTTACATATTTTAATAACCGTGGCAACAACTTTATGGTAAGTAACTATACGTAGTAGTAACTTACCATAAAGTTACCTTTTTAAATTTGAAAAAGATTGTGAATCAATCATTAAAATCTTTCAATGGAAAAAATTGGATTGACTGATGTTTATACAGCACGACTTGTCTACTTCATTTATTTTCATAGCTTAATGTCGTACGGTATTCTACTATGGCAGAATGTTGCTGACATTCAAACTATTTTTGTACTGCAAAAGAGAGCGATTCTATCACTTTATAATTTAGGCAATTGTTTTTCATTAAGGCAGAAATTTAAAGAAGTAAATACAATGACAGTGGCATGTCAATATATATATATGAATGTAATACATGTTCATAAAAAAAAGAAAAGCTTTTTGAAAAAAACCGGTCAGGTACCTTTTTGGGTACCCATTACTTTTTAGGGTACCCGTCTGTCCGTGTTTCACCACCGATTTTCTCAGGAACGGGTAGACCTAGCAAGTTGAAATTTATACCAGATACTGAGGACTATGGTCCCTATTAGTTGTATAAAAATCAAGGTCCTGAATCAGCACGATAAAAAGATATGGGCAAATTTCGATTTTCGCGAAAACTTGTAAGTACCAAAATGTACCTTAATTTTCAACTTTTTTTATTTTTCAGAATTTTCTCTTTACTTGTGCTGTAAGACATTGCTTTTAACCAAAATTGACAATTCTAGGTCAACCGGAAGTACCCTATAGGTTTTGGGTCGAAAACCTATATGGTAGTTCCCGTTGACCTAGAATCACAAAATTTGGTAAAAAGAAACGTCTTACAGCACAAATAAAAGAATAATTTAAGAAAAAAGTTGAAAATTAAGATGAATTTTGGTAATTACAAATTTTCTACGTAAAATCTGGGTAGGTACGGAAACCTCGGCGCATGAGTTCGACTCGTACCTGACCGGTTTTTATATGTTTCATTTCACTTTTTCTTTTATTTGATCTTTATTCCTAATCTTGTTTTTTTCTTTATTGCCTTTTTACCTTTTAGTCCTTAATAACTGACAGAATGGCACACATCAGAACAATGTTGTGGTATATTTAATGATGCCGTTGTTTTTATTTGTAAATTGCAAAAGAGTGGGCATGCGTTTGTTTGCCCTTTCATCTTATAACGATCAACCCCTTGGAAACGGGCGGTTGTAGATTGGCACAGGCATATCATAGGTCGAATAGGGCGCGCCTCTGGCGCCCCCAGAGGATATTGGCGGTCAGAGCCATACGCGGATACCGCACGGTGTCCACCGAGGCGGCTTGCGCCTTGGCCGGAACACCCCCGTGGGATTTGGAGGCGGAAGTGCTCGCCGAAGTTTATCGGCGAGTGGCTGACTTCCGGGCGGAGAGCGGATTTCGCCCTCCACCCGAAGACGTGCGCGAGTGGCGCGAAGCCGCTCGCCGAGCCACTATGGTGAGATGGTCGCTCCGGCTGGAGACTCCACGCGCTGGCTTCGCTGCCGTGGAGGCTCTCCAGCCGGTCATCGCCGAGTGGGCAGGGCGGCAGCACGGGACCCTTTCCTTCCAGCTGACGCAGGTGCTTTCCGGGCACGGTTGCTTCGGAAAGTACCTGTACTCGGTCGCTAGGAGGGAATCGAGTCCCGCCTGCCACCACTGCGACTGCGGTGAGGATTCGGCCCAGCACACGCTGGCGGTTTGCCCCGCATGGGCGACGCAGCGCCGGACCCTCACTGCAGTCATCGGAGCAGATCTCTCGCTACCGGCCGTAATTCGCTCCATGGCCGGTAGCGACAGTTGTTTTACCGCGGTCGCAACCTTCTGCGAGGAGGTAATCTCGCAGAAGGAGGCGGCGGAGAAGGCCCGGGAGGACGACCTCCACTCGGACCTGATCCGCCGCCGGCGAACCGGGCGGCGGAGGCGCGCTCACCTGCGCCTCATGCCGCCCTGAGTGTGGCCGCGGGTGGACGGGATGGGTTCTCCCCTCCACCCGCATTAGTTGGCCAGCCGCGAGGGGGCGGCGTCCGCGTGTGCCGGACGCCGCCTAAAGAGAGGGTCCACTGAGACGGAGCCCGCGCCAGGAGCGGGCCGGCGCTGGGAGGGGTCCAGAAGGAGATAGCTACCTGGACCCTTCCTAAACTGGAAGCGCAAAGAGGGCACACCGTGTGGTTTTAGTCAGTTCGAGTCCGACACACCGCCCCGCCGAACGAGAGCCCCGGCGGGGTGACGGTCCGAGGGGATTCCCAAACGTTAAAAAAAAAAAAAAAGCATATCATAGGTTCTCCCGGTGCCGGACGGGGTTCCAGCCCGAGTGATGGCCCGAGCCCTCGACTACATGTCGGACCACCTCAGGGAAGTGTTGGACGCTAGCCTGGCGTCCGGATGCTTCCCTGAGCGCTGGAAATGCGGGAAGCTGGTCCTGCTGCAGAAGCCGGGACGGCCTGCCGAATCGGTCGCGGCCTATAGGCCTATCGTGTTGCTGGACGAGGCGGGTACACTTTTTGAGAGGGTGCTCTCTGTCTGCATCGTCCGGCACCTTTGCGAGGTTGGCCCCGATCTGTCGGACGCCCAATTCGATTTCCGAGAGGGGCGTTCGACGATCGATGCCGTAATGCGCCTTAGGGCCGTGACCGAGGAGGCCGTGAGCTGCGGCGGAGTGGTGTTGGCGGTGTCCTTGGACGTTGCCAACGCCTTCAATAGTCTGCCATTCAGATGCATCAGGGAAGCGCTCCGCTACCACGGAGTGCCAGAGTACCTGAGGCGGCTGGTGGCAGACTATCTTCAGGAGCGAACCGTCATGTACGAGGACCGAGATGGCGTCTTGAGACGGTCTGCCCCGCATGGGCGACGCAGCGCCGGGCCCTCACTGCAGTCATCGGATCGGATCTCTCGCTACCGGCCGTAATTCGCTCCATGAAGAAGAAGAAGAAGGAGAAGAAGAAGGCCCGGGAGGACGACCTCCACTCGGACCCGATCCGCCCCTGGCGAACCGGGTGGAGGAGGCGCGCTCACCTGCGCCTCATGACGCCCTGAGTGTACGGGTGCCCTAGGGGAGTCTCTCTGGTCGTCGGGCGCATTGAGGCGATGGGCTTACGGGTGGCCCTGGATAAGACGGAGGCCCACTTATTCCGTGGGCTCCGTCGTGGTCCATCCCCCGGCGCCTCAATCGTGGTCAACTCGGTACTCGTACCGGTTCCGGCTCAGATGAAATATCTTTTCCTGATCCTCGACGGGAGGTGGCTCTTTGACTTGAGCACTTCCGACAGTTTGCTCTAAAGCTGGTCGACGCTGAGTCTGCCCTTGGGCGACTTTTATCCAATTTGGGTGGACCCATAATATGGTGTTGTATGTGTATGTGTTTACGCAAAGCTAAAGTACTAAGTGCCAATGACCTTGCCGCTGTCGCTATATAAACGTTACTGCACAAGTTCCGACATAAAATTAATAAAATTTCAAAAATAAGAAATCTTCAAAGTAAAATCAAACATATTGCTAGATGGCATACGGCAGATAATACTGTGTTTGACAACAAGGTTCATAAACTTGTGTTGGCCAGTGTCGGCGAAAAAAAAATAGACGCATCTTTGGTTACTGTCATCGGGATCATCGCTACCAACCTATTGCATTTTGCATCGTAATGGCGCGCTTTTTTGTAAATATTGATTATAAACAAAGTAAGCTAATAAATCTTAGTAAAGTAAAGTATCTTTATTAGTAGTAGTTAGTAAATAAAGTACCTATCTTAATATTATTGCGTAAATTATATTGTTAATATTAAATGTTTTACTTAAAGTACGTAATGATTACTACGGACAAACTCATAATAATAATGTTTTTCGAGCTTTGACAATTGGCAGCATTGATTTAATTATTTAATATTCGATGACTCCGGGTTCTAGAAAGTAGGGTAGCGTCAGTCGGTCAGTTGGTGCAAGACTTTGTGTTGTATTGCAACGAGTCCCGCTGATTTTATTTTGAAAGTAACAATATTAGTTTTGCTGTGGAGTGTGTGTATGTGTGAAACTAGGTTTCTTATTACTGTTTTAATTATATTGATTTTTCGATATTAACATTCATAATGCCGCGAGTGACCTTTACAGCCACGGAGTATACTGACATGGTCCTAATTTACGGGGAATGCCATCAAAACGCTGTTTTAGCTTCACGGACATACCGTGAGAGATAACATGAGTGGTTCCGCCACTAGTATTTGTCCTACAGACAGCCGAATCTTTGTTGTGGCTGCCAGGAAGCGTCTTAGTAACATGTTTACATGGCCTACACGGTGGCTGCCTTAGACTTTTTTTGTAGGATTGTGTGAAAATGAAGTGTACGCAACAGACGTCACTTTAATAGAATATCTAACGCCGAGGATAATTAGTGCATTTGATAAAATAAGAGCTTAAGCCGCGAATGACAACTTATGTGATAAAATACGAGAAAACATGACGCGAAGGTGTATTCGATGCATTGATGTACATTGGAACGGTAGATACATTGAAAACCTAAAAATTTAAATTTACATTAATTTGATTACTATTGTATGTATGATGTACTAAACTGGTGTACAATAAAGTTTATTCTATTCTATTTTATTAAATAAAACTCCTGAGTTGCAGACGTTCATGGGCGCCGGTCACTTTCCATCAGGTGACCCGTCTGCTCGTCTGCCCCCTCTAACATAAAAAAGTAAATATTGATTTAGAGAATAAAAACTGTTGCGAGTGGTATTAAGTTACTGAT